AACGGTAACGTACCGGTACGACTCCAAAATCGCTCTTGTACAATTCCTGTATTTTCTCAACTGGTCACCCACTACAGTAGTAACCAACCAAACGAATCTGGAGCATCTGTATTACAGTCAATTCAGTATACGAATCTTGAACCATTCTCATACAAATCCTAGTGCAGCTTGCAACTGGTATACGCATGCGGCGTGGCCAACATTGGTCATGGCAAATGGGTATGGTGTACGACTGTCTGTCTGTACGCATACTCTACTTGACTTGAGTTAATACAGGCTCGAACTTCGTGTTCGAGAAGACGTCTATCGAATTTAGCGTCGCCATGGTCGCGCATGAACGTCACGTAGACTTGAATTACCGTACTGTACTGTACCGAACTGCGCTCTACGGTAGTCGACAGATACTACACAGCACTGTAGCACTGCACTACTTACTGTAAATTACTGTACCGAACCGGACCGAACCGGACCGTACTCGACTACACTACACAGTACTGTAGCAAAAAGCTCCTCACGTTCTACTGTTGTACTGTACACTGTACAGTAGAAAACCTTGTAGCTCTACACTCTACAGTACCAACAGTACAGCTACACGAGCACAGTCATGCAGCCGATGTACGACCGTAAAAAAGGTGAAAACCCCTGTCGGATCGTCAGAGATTTTATATCGTACTTCTAGCTACTGTACATTGCACGCAGGGTTACAGTACATTGCACGCAGGGCTACAGTACTCACGTACAGGAACTCGGCTGCCAGTGGTACTGCGCACACTGCAGTCCAGTGTTTAGCATCTGCCACTTCATTTTAGCATTGCAGCGGTCCTCCATTTTGATTTTTACTCGCTAAGCCAATCCAGCCCAATTTGTGTAAGTAGAACTGTATTGAACTAGTCTAATCATCGATCAAACCGATCGATCTTGACTGAGTTAGAATAGCATTTCTTAAAATGTAAATAGTAGACAACCACAAGCATGTTTGCATGAGTCGATGGCTCTCTCTCCGTTGCAAGGAGGCAGCCATCTTCGCATCTTTTTCAAACCGACAATAATGATAGGAAGAATCAATCCATCGTTGTTCATTGCAATGCTACAGAATATTAGCACACTTGAAACGGTCTTACAAGCTTTTCTTCTGGCTTTTCATTCAGTCCATCGTTACGGATACGAAATAAGTTATCAAAGGCAAATGATAGAATTAAAATCGCCATCCAGTAAACGACCACTTTGCTACTGATACTAAAGTATTATATTGGAAGCATTGTTACATACAGTGGATAATCTTGTTTTGCTAACCCTTCAATGTCAGCAATTTGTAATATTAAACCATTTGAAATGTCCAGGAGGCCTATCAAAACTGGGTTAACTTACTTCATTGATAGACAATACTGCCTGTTGATACTTTATAGATCATTTGAAAACTAAATGGTTGCATTGAGTGGACGCTTGGTACTACAGTTTCGCTAGCAAACGCAAAACGATAAATTGACATAGCTTTGACTTGCCTATCTCCATTTTTGTATGGAAATATACGCTTGATAGAAGCAATTTCTTTCACCAGCTATGCCATCAGGTAGAGGAATGGACATGGCTCCAACTTGAATGAATAGCATCTCCATTCTTTTCTTCTATTTCAACCGTCATGATTAAAATTGTGTAGTTTTCCAAAGTGCTGCTACATTGTGCTAGTGACAGTAGTGGAAGGAAGTGTTTACTTCTCGCAAGTGCAGCATCATATTAATATTAGCGTCCTTGGGGTAGTCTAACCTGTGTTTACATTTCTAGCTTGTTTCATGACTTATGTACTAAATTTTTACGCCTTGGCTCAGTAGATAATGTCGGAAGAGAAAGAAAAGATTGTTTTAAAGACGGCACCTTTTGACAACCGATTTCCCAACACTAATCAAACCAAGAACTGCTGGCAAAATTATGTTGACTATCAAAGATGTATTAAGGCGAAAGGAGAAGATTTCGAAGCTTGTCAGTATTTCAAAAGGATCTACAGAATAATGTGTCCCAATCATTGGGTAAATGAAAAAATTGATCCTTGTTAGTCAATATGCGCGTAATGGGTGATAATTAACTTTTCTTGTCTTGATACACTTGCCGCTATAGGTTGAGCAATGGGATGAACAAGTAGAAAATGGAACTTTTGCTGGAAGAATTTAAGTAAATTGTTTAAAGTAATGTTTGCTGTTGGATTAGTATGAAGGATATTATATGTGATAACGCCTGTTATCCTTGCTATGCAGTAGCTCACGGTTAAAACTTAGCCTATCTTGTCAAAGTGACGATTTTTTTCGTTCTATCATGACATCTTATTACTGTATTCTGTATTACATGCTTATGGTATAGAATAATAAATGTTTATTCTATGCATTAGCAAACTTGTAATATTTGAAAAGTTTATAGTATGATGTAAAAGTAGAATACATAAGCAGACTTGATTCCAAAGAGTAGCTGCAAGAAATAATATAATTACCCGACATTTTCCTGACTACAACTTATTGCCGATTGTACTGTACGATTACTCTCGGAAAATCACGTTTTATTTGTTGAGTGAGTATTACTGCTTCTGATCGGCACGTTTATAGATAATGCTGCTTCTTGGTGGCTACGTCCTTAACGGTATACAGTTTTATCAAGCTGCTAAAATTGTCCATGAAAAACGCTGTACAAGAAAGGCCATTCCATCATATGAGTCATAACGTACTAATTCATGTGTTGGTAAACAAGCCTGTACTACAGTACTTGCTTGAAATGACAAAACAATAGTTTTTGTTCAGAATCATAAGTTTAGAACCCTCATGAAATTGTCAGTTTGATAGCTTACAAGCATGATATAATTAGAAGGCATCGTTATGAAACAACGAAATCAGCAGTCACATATAATATTTGCTTATAACCAAGTATCAAATATACGTATAGAAATCAATTTTACAGACGACAGAGAATAGACAATGCAACATTTGGGAAAGGAGAGTAAATTCATACTAATCAAATTAGCAATCATACAGGATGTTTATGGTCAGGAAATCTCGTCAGGATATTATTAACTACTGAAGATTAAGAAAAAATTGAGATTAACAGAGGTAGTGGTTTCCAATACAATATTATTCTGCCACCAAATTTTAACCTGACTGCATTTCTCAACCTACCAAATGCTCAGATTACTCTATTTGTATTTGTAGCGTAGCCTCAAATATAGCTTAATAGATTGTGAAAATTGTGAGTAGAAAACCATAGATTGAGAGATTGTAGAGTGATATGATTCTAATTAAGGTCAATGAGCTAAATAAGGCTAACTAGTTACAGTACTCGTAAATATTGTAGCTCTGCTTAGAAATATCTGGTTAAGGTGCTGTAACACCAATGAATGCAAAGTAAGTTAGAATAATTAACAAGGTTGATTGGTACAAGACGTAATCCCATATAATAAAGTGAATTAAGTAAATTATTTTCCTAAGATACAGAGGTTTCATTTTTTATTAAACTTACAGTAGATTAGACACTTTATCACAATATTATAAATGTTGGTTAAATAGGATTCGAGGCATAAAATTCAGTCTCAGCTTAATATACTAGTTACTATATCTATTGAGAGTAACATTTCAAGAGTATACCAAAATTTACAGGCGTACTGAAATTTAATCGACTGATTTAAACTCGCCCTTTAATATTTTAATTCTATATAGTACAGATACCATCATTCTAAATGAAAACATTGGAAAACGTTTTATTAGGAGAGCGAAAAAAAGAGTTACTGAGTGTGTATATAGATATTAAGATATTGCTTATGTCGATGACTATCATCTCGGTGATGGCAATGAAAATATTTTTGACTGCAACTTTAATTATAAATATCGTTGTTTGAATTATTTAGAGATGGAAAATATAAATATTGCAACACGTATATCTGTATAGTTATATCTAGATTAAATTTTAATTAAAGTTTCAGCCTGCAAGATAAACATTATTTACTTGCTGTACTTATAAATAATTGTTTCAGAAAAGCAAAGAAAATGATAATGGTATTTATAACATTATGTATTGGAATAGGAACTAAACTATTCGGCTAATAGGGTACGAGTATCATGCCGTTGATCACGAGTATTCTTAATTAATAGCTTTGCTAGATAGAATATATGGCTTCAAACCATAAATTAGTTGACGTTTCGTCATTCTGATTACATCGGAAGTCAAGATTGGCACTACTTGAGATGAAATAGCTGAATAGATGCCTTATTTTAGTTAATTCGGCATAATTGCCATCTATAAACGTTATTCCACAAGTTTTAGTTTCGTAACCACGCTACGTAAGGATGTAATAGAAAAATTGCTGATAATAAAATCTGCAGTCTACACTGCCTGATCCCGGTATGTTAGCGTAGTCGACCAACTGACAACGTTAAAATCTCCAGTAGGGAAATCAAAGTTTGCAAATTGACCTCGTACATAATCTCGACAATCAAGTGGTACTGAATCGAAATTACTTGTAAGCCTTCAGGGAGTTATTCCTGTTAAATCTCGTATTTCTTCCATCCGACTCTTCGACATGCGATAACTAGACCAGTTAGGATTAAACTCATCAATTGGATTATAGTAGTTATAGCCTAGTATTTCATATGGCTTCATCATCTTATTCCTGTCCTACCATGAAACAACAAGGGTGTACAGTTAATGTACACATATTCTTCCTCCGACATAAAGTTGCGGTAGACATGATACGGGCGATCACGTTGTCAAAGACCAAATACTTCCCATTTTAACATAGCCGACACATCGTAAATCATTGAGTACCGTATAATATAATTGTCACTGCAAAATTAAGTTGACTTCATATTTATCTATACCGAAGATAGACCAACAACAATGGATGGCTTAAATATCTGTGCATAACATGCATCAAGTCACTGGAAATGAATTAAAATTTATTTATTTCTGTACGACAGATTTTCATACAGAAGTATTATAAATAAGACTATGATTTACTGCTAATAATATTTTATAGTATATGCTCTTTTATTGTATACAACATCAAAATTGATTAAAACTATCGCAATTTGCAAGATTATTACTGATAATATATGTTGATTAAGTTTGATATATAATCCTGAAAGATATTTGAGCTAGGCTACATTTACTGTAGTGGTATTCAGGTTAGTCAACTTTATCTTCTGAATAGGTCTCTGACATTAAAGTAGAAATGATCTTATGATATACGTATATTTCATGAACTTCTGCAGCGACAAAGATAGCAATAAGATTAGCGTCCAAAGTTTCATGTCCTTGATAATAAAATAGATTATTTAAAAAGAATATATTGCACTGAAAACGAACTAGAAACGATAGAAAATTACTAATATTACGTCGATAGAAGAAAAGCTAGCAGTTGTAGTAGTCACAAAATCAACGTTATGCTTTTTAAATATACGCACAAAAGCATAAATAAGAGCCGTGCTGTACGCTATCAACTGTTGGTGTTCTGCCTGTATTTATTTTGAAATCGATCACGTTTCGTTGATGATGCTAATTGCGCTTTAAGTTCATGCACATAAATTTAATGTATAACCATCCTACAGATAGCTAATATCGATCATTGTTTAATAGCTTTATGCCAATTAAATTTATTTATTTACAGTGTTACCATGCTAGGTAATTATGTTCTTGTTCTCTTAAGTCGATTAATACAATATTACATCATCAAAGAATGCTAATGTTAATCGAAATAATGCAGCTCGGTTTTATAAATAAATGCAAAGATTTAAACCTAATTACATAAACAATCTAGTTTATCTTCATGTATGGATTTGTACAGGATGAGGATGATAAGTTTGATTTCAATTTAGGGTAAGTAAATGGCGAGAAAAGCTTTAGATAGCTGCAATTGTTGAAATGAATGTATATATATATCGCAAACTGAATTAGAATCAGACAGAATCAGCTTCAGACCGATTGAAAATAATTTAGGATCTCATTAGTATGATTTAGTAGTCAGAATGGTTTCAACAAATATCAGCTACCGTAAAGACTTTCTATCGTATAATATGCAGCTACATTATAAGCATTATATAAAATTAGACTTATAATGGAGCCGATGTGTATAATGCTCCTAGTTATACTGACAGGATGCTCCACCAACGCTATATGTGTTTAATATCAGAATGCTTTCATCGCTATCTTGGAACCTGGAAATTTGTCAATATAAGTACTAAAATAGATCAATTAATTAATAAGTGATAAGATTAGTAGTACCCTATTCAGACGAATAGAAAGGCTAGTAATCACTATTGGCACTGGCTTTTCCTGCCACGAAAGTCTTTCTATTTTAATTTTTTCGACACAGTAACGAAGACATTTACTTTTAAACTATATATTATTGTATAGCGCAAGTGAAAGAAACTACCAAACTCCCACAAACAATAATTACTCTTTTGAAGAAAATAGGGTGTGTATCGCCGCCCCTTAGAAATCGCTGTCCTCCTATACAAATCATGTAAATCTTATATTGTCAAGTTAATATGTGTGCACCACAAATTTAGTGGAAGGGTATTTAAGGACGAGCGAATGCTCAGTTCCTGAGTTCATTATAAGATCGTGTACGAGAAGGTACTCGGCTACTCTACTAATAACAACTATACTAATCTTTTAGAACAGTCTTATCCCTGTGTGACCGAAAGTAGTAAAGGACTACCATACAGTAGATCTCAAGGTGTAGTGAAGCAAGGCATAAGTAATCTATTAGTTTAGTGTAGTAGTTCGCAACATAAGTTTTGTGACAATATGATAAGCCTAATGGCCTCAATATTATAGATTGTATAGCTATTAGGATTAGAAAATTTAAATAAGACAGGACAGGACTGTTGCGGAGTAACTTTTGCGTAGCAGTCATAGTACACGGTATACGAGGTATATTCGTACGTATTTGTAATACGCGTATAATTTGGACTAACCTAGTCTATACAGGGCATAAAATTAGACTAGCCCAGAATATTTCCGATTATACTTTGGAGTGGATGCAGTCTAAAGAGGTTCATCGATATCTAAGTGCAGCGTCTGATAACTGATATTTACTTTATAATAATATATTACCTAAATATTATTAATTGCATCACTGTTAGGATTAGATAACGTAAATAGAGCCAAAAAGGACTGTTACAGAGTTACTTTTAAGTAGCACCCGTAGTATAGGTTTTATAAAATAAATTTGCTGGCAATGTATAGATAGTAGTTAATCCACGATAGTTTATATAGGTACTAGTAATATATAACCTAGATTAGAAAAGACTATACCCGTATATAAACTAGACTAGCTCAGCACATTTCCGAATTTAGTTTGGAGGAGGTATAATCTGGGCTGGTTCATCGATATCTAAGTATTGATAACGGATGTTTACGTAGCAATAACATACTAGGATTTGAATATTTAATTACAGATTAATTTCAGTCTGATCATCTAAAGCAATATTAGGACTTTAATAACTTGAAAAATCATTATCTACTATCTGCAATTACTACTCGTAGCAAAGTACGGTGCACAAATCTGATAATTTTATAAAATGCTATTAGATTAATTTACGTATATTTCATGTACTGTAAGTCCGATTTGCACACTCTGCTCTACTTAATATGGCTTAAACGCCAAGCATGTTGAGAAACAATCAAACATAAATTTATTTATTTAACATCTTTGAAGAATGCGGTATATCAACGAACAACTCTACAAATTGTAAATCGCTACCGTTTGCAAACGAAAAAATAAGAAAACAAAAGACCGAAACAGTCAAAAACCTTACAAAGACAACTTGAATTTCACTTGCATTCCACCGGTGACGAATGCTGGCCTTTAAACTCCTAATTCAATCTCAAAAAAATGATTTTTTCCCCTTAATTTCTAACTATGCCGCCATTTATAGGATTTTTAGAGCTCTTGATCGCCTCTAGAGTAAAACTTAACACATATTGACCTAACATGCCTAAAATTATCTTTAATAATCTGCTTGATTTAGTAATTAATTACGCAAAGTCCCGACAAAAATACTTTATGACTTCCTTAAAAAATGGCCATAAAACTAATCAAAAAATCATGAAATACATCAAATTTTTATATCTCTTATCAATTTTATCTATTAAACAATATAAAAAGCTTATAGTTGATCTTAAAAAGCAAGATTGAACTAAAATACAAAAACTTGAACAATAAAGATCATTTCCGCCATCTTAATCATTTTAGTTAGGGTTAATGTGCTATATACATTATTATGTTGGACATTATTGGAAGAGTCATTATATATAAAGCACTACAACAAGATTCAGATGGTAAGATCTATGGATTAATTATCAATCAGAACGAGACTACTTCTAGTGATAATTTATTCAAGATTGCAGATGACTTGGTTATCGTGAATTAATGAATTGAAAAACATATTTATAATTAAAAATCGCGCATAGGAGTTTATAAGCTCATGATAATGTAACTTAGGTTCTTGTTTGCTTATTGATGGTTTATTATAACATTACAGTTCTGAATTATTGCAGTGAAAGTCTTTATTTTCTTACATGCTATCTAGGCGTGAACTGTTGCCAAGCCAGATTTGGATTACTTTAAAATCCACCAAATTAATCCGAACTACTATTATCGGAGCCCTCTAAAAAATCTGAAAAATTCGACTAACTGTTTCGTAATTGTGATGGAGGGTCCGAAGAGTCAGATGTAGTTTTAGTTGCCATGCAGAGAATTGCATAAAGAGCTTAAGAAAGGAGGATACTTTATTGTAGATAGTAGTTAGGTACAATGTGATAATTACGGTAGATCAGCGTGGTAGCTGCCGTGAGTAAAGTATGAATACTAACTGTAACTAATAATGCAACTTAAGAAATCTAAGGTAGAAAACGGCGGTATTTATTGCTATAGCATTAGAATACAGGCAGAGAACATGATTATAGGATTAGATACAACATATACCATAACAGGTTACAACATATCTGATGATTGTAGCAAACAACGAGTACTGTAATAACTAAATACAGTAGTCTATATGTGAATGTGAAGTAAGCTGACTGTAGATATGTCTAAATATAAGAGCAATACAACATGTCTATATTGAAGAGTAGAATATAGTTACAGTATATTCTAAATACACTACAGTAATCTCATCGCGTTAGTTTATTCTGAGAACTAATTGGCTAGATTGTGCATCATCTCGGTTAAAAATTCAGTACTAACATCGGTATCAGTGCCGTCACTTGAAATTGCTAAGAAACCAAATATATCTGTATCAGTATCGTTATTAGAATTGCTTAAAGATACATATGTATGATTGCTAGAACTACTATCATCGTTGCTTGAAGTTATTGAAGACGTGGCAGACTTTGAGTAGCTTGAAGATTCATTATCTGTATTTCTGGTATAGTATTTCCTTTTTTCTCCATAAAAGATATCAGTTTCGGTATCCTGGTCACAGCAATCCGTCTGATTATCAACCTTAACAAAAACAAACTCTCTTAACCTATTCGCGGCCAGTGCATTTTCTCTACTTTTTGTTTTTCGATGGCAATAACCAGGATACCTTTCAGGCCCAAAAGATCTTTTAGCACATAAGCTATAACTATTAGATTCTGCTGCAGCAGTAATATTATAAATATACCCTTGGTAAAATGCCCATTTTTCCTCCGTTTGCGCTAGAGTAATATGAATTCTGCCTCCTTTATCCTGTACTTTAGATGATGATTCAAAGAATCGCTTGAGTATCAGAGGCAAAGTTTGTTCTCGATAACCTGATCCATCATGAGGGCAATTCCAGTGGATACGATCAAATTTTTCATTTTTTGTTTGCGAATGCTCATGGATTTTCTCTGCGTCTAGGCCCAAAATTACTGTTACTCCACGACTTTTTAATCCTTCGATGCGACGGCAAAACTTGCTACAAAATTCACGTTTATAATGCTGGCCATTTTTTTTATCACAATAACCACATGACATTTCATTGCGTTCATTTAGAGGATTAATTTCTGAGGCAGTAATAGATTCCCCTAAATTTGGATGGTTACCTTTATGCTTCTTGAGCAATGACCAAATACCGCGAAAAGTATTTTCTCCGACAAATAGTCTCTTTTTATGATTTCCGCTACATTTGCGGTTTTTTGACTTTGCGGCCATCTCCCTAGCTAACTTTATCGCTCGGGTTTAGAATATCGCTTTAGCTACAGTGATAACTAGAAGATTCTTTTCTGCAAACCCACTGCAGTATTTACTTATCGTTTCTGCTATAAAAATGTAGTATTAATCTTTCTGTTTTATTGGAAAATAATCGGTACTTTTCTACTCTTCCTACTCATACAGCAAAAACTTTTGCAACTTCTAGAGCTTGATACACTACGCGGCTGCTTTTCATATAAACTGGTTCTAATACACTTTATTAAACATCGTTCATTAGTACAGGTATGAATACATGACATAATTCTTAGTGAATAGAGTGGGGGTAACTTGTATATTATCTACGATAAGGGATACTTAGGAACGCGGAAGTGAAAACTAAAGTAGCTCAGTTGTGAGATAGGTCTTCTCTATCTGTTGTGTCTACAATAGCAGTAATAAGCAAACTATGACAACAACAAATACATTTATTCTACCATTTAGGCGGTAGTTTGATTAATTAGAGTAATATTAGATCATTGTTCTAATATGGCAGCTATAACTATACACTAATATACGCGTATTTAATGATTATATACATGCGTGTTTATTTGTATCATTAGAGAGGGTCTTGCAACCGCATGATCTTTAGGCTGTTTTTAATTCTTAATGATTTAGTAACGACAATTGGCGATAGCGTATATAAAGTACATAGTCTATCGCATTCTGGCAATGGTCAACATATCCATTCATACCCGTACCTTGTTCTTTATGCATGCTTACTATATATATCTTAGAGGACGTTTGCAATTTTCCGATCTACTCTCTATAAGTTGCCTACACTGGGTGTTTAGAATGAACTTCACTACATCTCCTGAAGATAGGAAATTGTCAGCATTTAGAATTGTACTATAAGCTATAGATATTGAGAAGGATAAACCTGAGAGAAGGCATAGATGAGCTCGGATAGTAGTATATAACATAAACAATAACATATATAACATATATATATATATATACGATAATTTCTAGTAGTGACTTTAATTTTTTACGTTATAGATTTCGACGTTCGATTTGGAATTGAGGGATTGCTGTGCGATGTATATTATTACTTTGTAATATCTGCTAATATAGCCTCGTATCATGTATTTGAAAAAGTAGAGAGGTAATCAATAATAATCAACATTATAATGATGCTTAATTATATAATTAATTATTCGTATTTCAAAGTGTCCTCCAAATTTTTTTGTAGCTGGCAAAATTGAAAATATTGTGCACGTATGTTACTGTATGTTGCGGTTATATACTTTTTCATGAACATTAATTGATGGTGGTGGCTAACCTTGATGAGATTTTTATCAGTCTGAAGCTAACGCAGTATTCAGATACTTACCTTTATTTGCAAATGAATTGGTTTGGCCAAACTGTTTAGTCAAGCGCTTTATAGGTGTCGGTGATGGAGAAAATGATGATGAGATCTTTAAATCTATACATTATTAGATTATTTTATTAGATAGGTCAATTGGCGAAAAAATTTTCTCTAGCTCAATAGAATGATTAAATAATTTGGTATATAATTGTGAATCATTATATCTTAGCAATGAAATCAATTCCAAACTATTAATCTACTTACATGATCCCAAAATCCATTTTCTATGATATTATTGGCTGTACTAACATTCGTTACAACTCACGTCCATTTCTTTCGTTATAAAATCATTGGCTACTGAAATAGATATATCTAAGCCGATATTTAATTAACATAGAATCAGAATACGTAGTTGTCATTTGAAGAAAGTTCGATAAAATAGGATGATGCTGAAGTTAAAGTTGATTGGAACATTTCATAAAACTACTAGCATACTAGCGCAGTAGGGCATCCACATCTAAAATTAACAACGGTGATCTTATTATTCTGCCAGTAGAAATTGCTTTAACTATTGCAGGTTAACCTTATAGGATTGGATGCTTATCACCAAACCATAGCTTGGTTATCGAATTTTGATTATTCTGGCATCGAAATTGAGAATTATGTTCATTTACATCGCAATAACCAATAAATTGATTAATTATTTTAAATTCTTGCTGATAAACACTACGGAAGGTAATTTCGCAACATTCACGTGTGTGGTATCATAGGGTGGCAAAAAAGTAGCCTAAATGTTGAATAAAGTATACTTTACAGTTTTCGCATCCAGATCCCTTCACATTAATATAATCAGCTAATCGAAGACCAATGCGCATCCTCTGTAAGAAAATGAAAGTTTACAAATCGATCTTTGTAAGTTAAGAAATTAAGTGAATGAAGTAGTATATACTGAAAAGTATACACACACGCGCACAAAAAAATTATTTTAATATATAGATTATATAGTATGTAATTATGTAAAGTATAAAGCATACTTAAATGCAGTTTATTAAGCAATTTTACGTTAGTTGTCTTGTATTAAAGCTTATAATAATAATAAAATATAACTTATTAACTTAAAATTAATAATACTTTGACACAAAATCCTAGTATAAGAATTCTAGTACTATAATTTACCTAGATACTAGAATAATTGTAGGTTGATGTAGTGCTTGGGTTTTACAACCTCTTAGGTTTGCAATCGACTAACTTAAAACTTGAGTTATTAAAATTGAGCTAATCTCTAATGTGGAACATGTCTATGTTTGTAGATGATTCTATGTATTTGCTGATATACCGATACCTTACTTATACTAAATTTAGTAAAACTATTATAAGAGTATTTTGATATTAAAATTTTATGGTTACATGTTTAAGGTATTAGTCGCCGAATGCTGTTCTATACAAGAGTCTTATAAAAAGTGAGATGACGTAGGAAATCTGTTTACATATTTACTAGGGTGATGAATATTAAATTAAAAGATAGAGATAGCAATAATATGTTTACGCTTGAACATTTTCTATAGAACCAGAGTTTCTCTTAAAATAAAGATAACTATTGTTAATGACTTTAGCTAAAAAACTTGACTTAGTGTCTTAAGTTAGCTTGTGTTTTTCTTGTTCCAACTACTGAGTTGTGACACAACCATGACTATCTTGAGTCAGCACGTCAAAGTTCACGTACTGAAAACGTAGATAGTCACAATTATCGACTTTAATAGAATCGAAACTATAAACCAATCTCTAGAGAGTTATTCCGACTGAATCTTATACTTTTCCACGCGACTCTTAGATATACGATAACTCGACCAATTAGCATTGAATTCATTCATTCGCTGATTATAGGTATAGCCTGTATTGTGATAGCCACTATTGATCATATGATTGCTGAATCTCCATGATGTTACAGGTGTATATATATAGACAAAATTCAATTCAGAGGTTACAACATACATTATATATATTGCAACATGCGTATGAGGGCCAAGTAAAATAAAGTTTCCTTTAAAATGGTAGTGCTAATTTAAATAGTCCGATCAGTCATAATGGCAAGATATCATTTTCTCCCCAATCGATTATTCGATAACTGTTCGCATCTCTCAATTCAATATTAACTAGAACATGTTCAGTTTATTGTAAGCAAGTATTTATACATTTGTTACGATCCTAATCCTAGCGATCGATAACTGAAATAATTTTTTTGATTTAAAAACTGCAATCTTCGAAAGATGTACTTGCGATGACAATGATAGCAAAATAGATTTCGGACTGTCATCATCGATTAACCAAGTAGTGGCGTAAAATAATAAAAACCATGTGTCACAAAACAGCTTTCGTGATCGGGCCTAGTCTATTCTATCTACTCTATCCGATCACCGACTAACTTCAGGCAATCCTCTATAAGGAAAACTAACTTATTCCAATAGTAAAGAGACTGAGTCAAACGATAGATCTAGGTTAATAACTTTATTAACTTCTAGCTACACTAAGGCCTTCTCCTTTACACTAGTCTCAGGAGAACTTAAATACCCTTTCTTATTTACAGTCACTATACTTGTCGCCAATAATATTAGTTACTCCAGTTAGCAAGTCTAATTATCACACACAACAACAGAGAACAATATTTATGTCCTATTTGTTAGACCATAATAATACACGATTAATAATCAGTAGCAATAATAATATTAAGCGACCAACAATTTTTGATTGCTAACTGCTTTAATACTGCGTATAGCAATTCCACACTAATAATACTTACTTCAATTACATGACAGCTATTTTCTACTACTAGGTGCTAGTCAGCATGGTCATACACGATTGTAAACAATTATTAATCGTAAACACGGAGCTACTAGCTCCGTAACACCATGGATGAAGGTTAAAGCGCGTAAAGTTGTCTATAATAATGGTTGTCGGAGCGTTATCCACAATTTTCACTCGATCACTACTTAGCAATAAATTGTCGATATGCAATCACTAACTTAACTAAATTTTCAAGTAATTCGAGATTTCTTAGTACCTTGAAGGAGATACTATAATAAATTTTATATCTTATATAGCCTATATCCTAACTCCGATACTGTGTGTACTAAGAAATAAACGATATTAAAATTATAGTATTAGGATTGCTATTGTTTTAATAGAAATTGCGTACCTGAAATACAAGGAATTGCTCGAACTTTGCTTCGATATCAAGGAATGTTATCATTGTTGGAAAGTAGTTTACTTTACTGATATTTATCGATGAGCAATTGTTATGATTTTGTATTTATTATACTACATCACTGAAATTACGGTTGTTACCGTCGGTGTAGTTTAAAGCTAATCACCCAATTCATTGATGTACGAGTTATGTAGATATCGGTTTGGTGCAGCATTGAAACCGTATTTAATGCATAGTATACGTCTATAAGAATGCGCATGTTAGTAACGTAGAACTGATTACAACAACTGAATAAAGAAGTAAAATTGTAAGCGTGTCTAGAACTTTAGTCGGAGTACCTCAAGCAATCAGCAAATACCATAATTAGGTCTTCAGATCTAGGTACTGGAAGGCCCATGCATGTTCTCAGTATATAACAGTGTAACAGCATGGTATAAGGAAGCATATGATGCA